CCAGCATCCTTTTGCTTCCTGGGGGGCAGTCATCTGGACCTGCCGCCCCGGCAGCGGGCTGGCTTTGCTGGCAGTGGCTCCGGTCTTGGTGAGGCAGACGCCACGAGCGCCATCAGCCTGAACGGCGACTGGATCCTCCATCACCTTGGTGACAGATGGCCCCATGGCTCTGCCACCTTAGACTCCACCGACCTGCCGGTGGGCAGCTTCAAGCTTCGCCGCAGTCGCTCATTTAAGGAGCTCAAGAGGATGATGTCCCGATCCATCAAGGGTGCCAGAGCCCCCAAGTGATCCCTCTGCCCTTCGATGATGCTACGACGAGGCTGGAAGATAGGGTGGGACGCGGTTGTTTCTTATCCTGTTACGAGGTTCTAGGTTGATGCTCCTGAAAGGGCATCTTGTTTACTGTCACCTGGGAAAAGTTTCTTCTTCACTTGGACAAACGGAACTGCCTCTTGGGCTTCTTCCTCTCACCTGACACCCAGATTCTTATATCTCCTCCCCTCTTTAGGCTGTGTATGTTCTTCTTTCTGCTGTGTGTTTCCCCCCAAAAAGAGTACTTGATGGAAGGGGGAAGGTCTTGTGACAGCCTTCTCTGAACCTCTCCCTACAGTGTTTTCATGTGTTTGCAGCATAAACACGTAGAGGGGCAGAAAGACTAGCGCAGCTATGCCTGTTTCCCCTAAAAAGAAATCATTCTTCCCTACAGTTCTCTTTCCAAAAAGTTACTCTTTCTGATGGTGGAAGAAGGGCTGAAGCCTACACAATTTGTAATCCACAAAGCACAACACAGTGTCTCCCTTCCTCCATCCCCATTTTTCAGTCCAGGAAACTTAGCAAAAAAACCAGGAGATTTGTCAAATGTCCAGCCAGCCAATGTACATGGTGGGCATTGGGCCACATTTGACTTTGTGATTTGCAGATTGTGTAAGCCCTGATAGTAATATCAAAGAATGTACATTTTGTTCTGGAAACTTTGTGGGCGTTCAGTGTCTTGGCTTCCTGACTGGTGCTTCAGGCCTGAAATTGATGCAGCCTTTTCTTGTGCTGTTAATATACCTCCCTTTTCCGATACGAGTATTAATTTGTGTTAGGAAAGCAACCTCATAACTGACCCCTGTGAATAGTGGCCGGGGTTTTTCTTGCTTTTCCTACTTCAGCCCTTAACGGGCTTTGTCAAGGAACATCCAAACACCTTTCGAAAAATTTCTCTTCAGTACTTCAACCATGTTTAAAGGAAATGGATACTAGATTACCCAAATCCTTATAGCACGAAGCACCAGCTTAACCTTTGTTTCTAAAAGAGTTCTCTTGCTGTCTAAAACTGTGGACCTCAATTTTTTTTCTAAATGTAAATGTATACTGTTGAGGTTAGACCTTTTTTAAAAAAAAATAATCAAACCTGGTCTTTCTCCCTCATTGCTGTGAGAAACTGCTAGGAATGTTAACAGTGGGAGATTTAAAGCCCTCAGTGTAATGATGTTTCCAAATGGAGGATTTCTTTTCAGGTGTCATTTAAAAGTCCACACCTGACACCAGGGCTTTGTGTATTGTGAGCAATAAATAAAAATTCTGTGCTGCGGTAACTCACTTTTTGTGACAAGAACTTTTTGAATTTGAATGTTAAGGAATTTGGATTCTAATGTTTTCAGTGGAAGTCCAACAGAAATCACAGCCTCATCTGAGGCTCATGTTGAAGGTGGAGGACAACAGCCCTAGATTAATAAAGGGTGAACTGGGCCCACTAGGATTTCTCACAGTAAGCAGCCAATCTACCCTGGTGAGGAACTTTTTTTTAACCACCACTGTAGACACCACAGGATTATAGTCTAGCTAGATCAGTGGTCCCCAGTGTGGTGTCTATGAGTGTCATAATGCCCACTACCTTTCCTGGTTCTTAAGTGTTTTTAGAAAGCAAGTGTGGCCAGTTGTGGCTTTTGCCCAGCACGGCTGCTGATTGGTCACTGCACATTTGATTGGATGTGCAGATTTTTTTAAACATTGCTTTGGCAGCAGCTGTCACCACAGCACAAGGATCTTCACTGTGTGGCTGAAGTTAAGCTGTGGCAGCCATTTTGTAGGCGATTTAGCCTCCTGCTGCAGCCATTTTGTTGCTTTATCGCTACACTGCATCAGGCTCAAAAAGAGGGGTAGTCTTCTTGGTACTGGAGAAAGTGTGCAGGTAAACTTTGCACAGGATGTAGCAGAGAAGAACCTTTTCATAAACACAGTCAATAGGAGACACTGGAAGTGACCTTTTGTCCCACAATGCTTCAGGGTATTGTTGTTGTTGAAAAAAGACACTAAAAATAATTTCAAAAGCTGTTGAATTCTTTATTGTACGATTGCAGGAGGCAGCAGAAGTGGAATCTCAACCGGGGGGAGGGTTATTACCTCTCCCAAGTACATTTATAGTTCCCCAGATAGGCATGCTCAGTTAGAACATATACATGGAAATTTCTCAGTGAAACTGGTTTCTTCAGTATCTTTTCTTCGTAGTTAGCATGGGTTGATCCAGACCAGTTGGTTCTAGTTTTGAGGTCACTTACTCTTCTTTATTTTTGCAGTCACAGCACATCTCACCTAGCCTACATGACTTCCCCATTCTAATGTGTTGTCTCCACTCAGGTTCATTTTTGACTTCCACACAATAGCGTCTTATTTTGCAAGTTCTATATTGTGGCGTGGGGTGCTACAGTTAGCTGAAGATAAAGGGGTGAATGCGTTTCCCCACCCACCTGCCTCTCTTATATGCTTCCATTATAACTAAAACCATGTTTAGTATACAGACTTTTTTCCCTAGAAGCAAGCGAGAGGACATTGCAGCCTGGCCTTCTTGTGCCTCCCGAGAAAAATTCTGCATTCCAGCCACCTCTGCTGCTGTTAACTGATGGCTTGAAGGGCTAAGCAAATTGCTGTTTATGTGATTCCTGGCACCATGTGGGTAATAACAGTAATTATGGAGACTGCAAGATGGTAGAGGACGGATTTGCAAGTCTAAGCCTGCTTGTTTGGGGGGGGGGGGTTTGATTCTCCACTCAAGTTGATGCTGTAAGCTCGGAATGCTGTTTTTTTTGTAGAGTTTGAAGCTCGCATTCACAGTTCCAAAGGTGACATTCATAGCTGTGGCTACTCTTCTCCGCATGTGTGTACTGTGCAAATATTGTACCCCTGAAAGCCTTGGTCCTCTAATTTTGCTTAATATGCTACTTTTCTATTGCTGCTTTTTAAAAAAACAAACAAACCAAGGAATAGGTGGCTTTCAAAAGTGTCCTAAGTGAGGCAATGTATATTCTGTGCCCTGTTTGCATCTGTGTCTTCACCCCAGTGTCAGCCCCATGATTTTGGCGGGGGGGGGCAGTATTCTTCACCCCAGTGTCAGCCCCATGATTTTGGCGGGGGGGGGGCAGGATAGGATCAGCCAAATCAGTCCCAAGTAGGCTACTTAACCTCAGTTGGAGATGTGTACAAATTAATTTCAGAGGGTAGCCATATCGGTCTGCAGTAGAACTCAATTCGAGTTAGGATGCCAGCCTCCAGGTGGGACCTGGGGATCCCCTGGAATTACAGCTCATCTCCACACTACAGTGATTGCTTCCCTTGAAGAAAATGGATGCTCTGAAGGGTGGACTCTATGGCATTGTATCTCACTGAGGTTCCTGTTCTCCCCAGACTTCATCCCCAACTCTCTAGCCTGGATCAGGCAACCCTGCAACCCTCATTCCCCGTTGGTGGCCAGGGGGGACCTGGCAACCCTCATTCAATTCCAGTAACACCTTAGAAAACAAGAATTTTTGAGAGTCAAAGCTTCCTTCATCACTTATCTTGTGGGTCTCTAAGATACTACTGGACTTGAATCTGTTCTGTACAATTATTAATGTCTTCCACGCCTTAGGTGTCCCTTACAACATGAGCATAATGGTGCAGTTCTGGACCCTTTACTGGTGGATGGCTTCTAGAAGTTACTGTGCTTTTCTTTCCTATTGTGTGCCCTAGCCTCCAGTAGAATGGTTCCTCCTCAGGAGGGAGCTCCACAAAGCCACAGAAACAGCACACTTAAACATTCAGAGTTGAAGGTACCCAAAGAACAGTGGCCAACGATGATCTCAATTGATGTCAAAGTTCATACAGGAAAAGATGGTCACTCTAGAGTGATCAAAGGGTTTCATATACATTACCTTATAAGCCTTCAAGCTACCATGTAGGGTATTATTCTCTCTCTTCTGGTTGAGCTCCAAGATTACTTAAAGGTTTCAAGGCAGAGGTGAGGGTTCATTCCTTCCAAAGTTGTAGCTCAGTTTCTTAAGATTGTACCACAGAATCTTCTTTGGTGTGAATTTCAGCACAGAAGACTTCCCAAGGCCAAGAAACAGGGCAAGTTCCAGACCAAGGTGACCCAAGTTTTTTGGGGGGCAGACTTTGGGGAACCGGGAAACAATGGTGCATTGGCAGTTGTGTTTGCCTAATCACCAGAGAGGAGCAAGAAATGCCACATGGGTATTCTGCCCCAGGCACCACAATGTTGTGGGCCAGTCACCTGTCTGAATACAGCTATTCTTCAAGAAATGGAATCTGTTAATGAGGACAAGTCCCTCATCCACTGTGGAATGTCATAATTACTCAGGGGCCCAGCTTTAAAGCAGCCTTTATGCTAATGAGGTGCGTTGAGGAAGGGGGACAAGCCCAAGGGTACGTCAAGGTATCATTAAGTCACAAAGAGCCTGTTCCATCTTGAAGCAGATAGTAAGGAAAAATTCTGAGGAGACATTTTGCTGCTATCACTCAGTATGGCTCCTCCTTTGGAAATGATCTCTGATTAAATTATAAAGTGAACAAAGTGATTTTTTTTCTTGTTTGGAGTTACCTCAGTCTTGTGGGGGGGGGAATGACAGAGCAATGAGTTCTGTCAGAAAATCACTCTTAGCAGTTTAAATTAGAGCCACAGAATGGTCAACTGTTTAATGGCTGTCAACAGAATTAGGTGTTGAGTTTGTCTAGTCTGATTAACAAAGGGCATCATGTGGCAGTGAGTTCCATAGGGCCTTAGTAGCTGCTGTGCTGGTGCTTGTGTGTTGATGGCTGTGGATGGAGACCAAGCCTAGGAGGAAAGGCTTGAGGGACTTGGGAATTTTCAGTCTGGAGGAGGTTGAGGGGGGGACATGATTGCTGGCCAGGAGGAAAATTCCTTCCTGACCCCAAAGTGGTGATCGGTGTTATCCTAGGTATGTAAGGAAAGGGACATGAGAGCTGAGCACTGACTCATCCCTTCTTGCCCTCCCTCTCACAATCTGCTCGGCACCGCTGTAAGATGGCCACCTAGCCGCAGCTTAAAAACTTCCAAAGGAGAGCCCACCACCTTCTGAGGACACCTGTTCCACTGAGGAACTGCTCTGTCATGAACTGTTCCTAAAGTTTAGTTGAAAACTTTTAATTGCCAATGCAAGATTTACCCCCCAGACCTTGCTGTCTGAAACCAGTGGCATCAGTACCATTCCTGAACCAGGCATAGGCCTCCGGATCATCCCCCCCCCAAATAAACTTTGAATTCCAAGCATTGAATTCCATCAGCAAGTGCTTGGATGAATGCCCAGGGGGTGTGCTGACCTGTTTTCCAAACTTAAATCTCTTCTTGTGCACCTAGTGCTACTTGCAATAAGAGATGGATTGATCCTGAACAGGTCCTGGCATGCAACAGAACCGCATTTTCACTGCTTGTAGCTGCTGCTGCTGCTGCTTTAAGGGCAATCTGATCTCCAGCAATTCTCAAGGTGACCGTGTTCAGCTCTGTTCCACGGAAAGCTTTGCTTACTGATGGAGAGCTTTGCTTACTGATTTCTGCAGATCAAACCTCTTGGTAAAAGGGGTTGGAACAGGTCGAGCTGGTCTGATCCTGGCCAATTGGCAACCTGACTTGAATCGCTTGCTCTGTATGAATCTCTCCTGGGAGCACGCTGTGCCCTGGCCTGGATTGTGTAGCCTGATTTAAGAGGGATACCATTCCAGTCTTTTAGGGCCACTGAACAGCAATCTGACATTTTTATTAAGCACACGATATGTCATTGGAGTAGAGCGGGATGGTTACCAGCCAGCGTCTGTGTGCTCTGAACCGAAGCTTCTTGGCTGCTGTTCTCACTTGCAAATACTGTCCCCATTAGGGCTAGAAGCTTGTTTTGGGGACTGGGGAAAAAAAAAACAGACCAGAAACTGAGGTTCGCATGCAGCCAAATGAAAACGGTTGAGGTTTGTAGGCTGCCACGGTTGGGCTACTACCCATGTATGCTAGCAGGCAGGAAAGGGATTATAAGAACGTGGACTTGTACACACAACACCCACCCACAGCAAGATCTTGCTGGTGTCTTGTGTGTTTGCAAAGGGAAGGTCACGGAGGGCAGCTGAGAAAAGCAAACAGCCCCCTTTCTCAGCTGCTGCCAAAGGAGAGAAGTATTTGCTCAAGAGCCAGGCGGGAGACGGTGCGTGGCAGGAATGAAGGATGTTTGTTGGGATGTCGCAGCTGGAGGAGGACAGCCAATAAAGAATCGAGACTTCTGCCTTTATGGAAATAGCAGGAGAGGCGATTGTAAAAAAACACACTAGCTTGTGAAGGCAAAGCTCACCTTTAGAATCCCTTCTCTCCCTGTAGCTGGGCTCTCACACCTCTTCCTCTCCGGTCAGCCAGGAAGCCCCTCTTGGGGCCTACACCATTTTCTTCTCCAAGAATCACCCCTTGCAGGAACAGGACTTCTCTGGAGGGGCTGTGTGCATTACAGCCCATTCTTTTGCATGTATACTTAGAAACTCCCAATGAATTCAGGAGGATGTAGTCCTGTACTGTACCCAACCTTAATCTGCGAGGAAAATTACCAACCACTCTCCTCCTACTTGTGCTTAAGCATTACAAAGGGAAGCAACCAACCCCCATTTTTGTATGCAGGTGATTAGCAAGCATGGAAATAAGGGTGCAAGGAGTGGAGAAAACACATTTCAGTCCACGCATGCAGGTTTGTGTGTGTCGGGGAAGCAAAGAGCAATACTGTAAGGCGGTTAGACTATTACAAGGCTAAACTCCTAGCAGAATTAGAAGAAGAGTAGGTTTTCTGTATCTTGAATCTCAAAACACTCAATTCCGCTGCTCTTAACCACTAAACCACACTAGCTCTCAGGGGGAATGGTCACAGCCAGAGATACTAGACTAGGCCGCATCCAAGCCCCATCAGGAACCAAAGGGCACATTAGCAGAAGAGAAAGAACAGTTCCAACGGTGATGGAGGCGGAGGAATCCTGGAAGGGTAAGGTATTGAGCGGAAGGTGACACTGGCAGAGGATCTACAATAGACAAGGGCAGTGTTACTTTAGCTAACCCTGGTTAGTGCTGCGCAGAAGGTGGCAATGGTAAACCACTTCTGATAATCTCTGACCATGAAAGCCCTATGATGAGACACCAAGGATACTTTGGAGGTCACTAATTCATAGGGGGCTCTTCCGCATTCTGATTTTCATCACTTGTGTGTTCCTGTTGCTTCAGGGTTCTCCCCCCCCCAAAAAAAATGTGGTTTGCTCTCTCTAGTACATGGGTGTCGAACTCATTTGTTATGAGGGCCGGATCTGACATAAATGGGACCTTGTTGGGCTGGGCAACATGTGTCATAAAATATAATGCCAGGTAGTGGAGATATAAACTTTATAAAGGACACAAACACAAAGATTTTTTTTTAACTTTAAAACATGCTTTAAAACATTAGCTCTGTAAGCTGCAAACCTATTTTTGATTTATTGACATTCACCGCCGAAATCTCATGCTCAAGAGTTCTAAGTCTAGGACCCAGGTTAAAACATGAAATGGCTGAGTGATTAAGAGAGTCTGGCGCAGCACGCTATGATGCAGCAGCAGCAGCAGAACTGGAAGCAGGAGATGGCCAGTTCCACTGCGGGCCTGATCTGGCCCCCGGGCCACATGTTTGACACCCCTGCTCTAGTAGTTCCACAGGGAGCAAAACACATGTGGAAAAGGGCAGGGGGGGACCCAAAGCAATAGGGACACCCAAGTGACAAAAGTGAGAATGCGGAAGAGCCCAGGGTTGCTGTACGTTGGAAGTGATTTTATGGCACTTAGCACACATGCAGTAGAACAGAGGTGGCCAGTCTATTGTTGCATGGTCCAAGGTGTCTGCTGCCCACCTGGGTTGCCAAAGAGGCCGCATGGCAAAGCTGAGTCTAGCTGATGCTCTAGGACACTGTTGCCATGGGTGACGACAAGCCGCAGGAGAGGCCTAGCCACAGTCACTACGGCAACAGGGGCACAAAAAATATAAAGCATCCCAGATTTACCCTCCAGACCCAAATGGTGGGGAGGGGGCAGCTAAAAACCAAACCCAAAACCGACCTAACAATCTTCTACTAGTTAAAAAAGACTACTATTTCCCACTAGGACAGGAACCCAAAATCAGGACGGAAAGGGGCCTGACTTCAGTGGGCCTCATAACCTCAGGCCCTTTATTATTTTTAAGCAAAAAGGAATAAGACACAAAGATAAAAGGGAATTCCCAAAACAATTTATGAACCAACAAAGGAAATAACCATCAGATCTGCCCACTGTGGTTCCTGCTTCAGCTCCAGAGGAGGGAGGGGACCATTACGGGGCCGTATCATCCATCCCCAATCTATTTCCATTCCAAAATGGTGACATTGAAGAAAGTTATCCAGGCCTCTCCCTTTTCACATCCTCAGAGGCTAAATTGGCTATTAAGCACATCAAGGCATGACATGTCTGGAACCTTCAGAGCCAACGACCAGGTACAGCCCGCAAGAAAAATGGGATCCAGGCCGACTTCACATCCAGGTACAACTAGGCAGAAACCGCTACCTCTATCCAAACATCCCCATATAAAGCTGCTTCTCCTTTTGGTGGTAGCTGCTCAGCTGGGACTCTGTCAACTGCAAGTAACGCTTCACATTGGCATCTTCCATGGCAAAGAGAGAAAAGGCAAAAAAAGAAAATGAAGACTACCATTAAAAGCAGTAGATATGTTTTGTTCAAACATTTAGGACAGCAGCTGGTGGTCATAAGAAAGTTATTTTGTGGATCAGGCCCATAAGTTGCCAGGTAACCACACCTGCTCACGAAGGGGGTGACAACTGGATCACAAATCCTCCCAGAAGACAAAAAGGAGAAGAAGAGATTGAATTTATACCCCGCCCTTCACTACCCAAGGGAGTCTCAGAGCGGCTTACAAACTCCTTTCCCTTCCCCTCCCCACCACAGACACCCTGTGAGGTAGGTGGGGCTGAGAGAGCTCTGACAGAAACTGCTCTTTTTCAAGGACAGCTGTGCCAGAACTATGGCTTGCCCAAGGTCATCCAGCAGGTGCAAGTGGAGGAGTGGGGAATCAAACCCGGTCCTCCCAGATTAGAGTCCAAGCACTTAACCACTACACCAAACTGGGTGGGAGGGTGCAACAGGGCTTACACACAAGATCTTGTACACCACCCTGTGTAAGCTGCCGGCAGTTTTTCCTGCCTTCCCCCTTCCTCCATCATTCCCCTGAAAGGGCTAAAAAGGTGGTACTGGGTACCTGTAGTCATGCAATACAGGTGGTTGCAGTGCGTAAGGGGAAACAGGAAAAACTGACACTTCTGTCTCGTTCGCTAGTGATGCTTCCCCTAGAGCATGGTTCCCCAACACGGTGCCCATGGGCACATTTTCCATTGCCTAGCAAGTGTTTTAGAAAGTGGCAATGGCCAGATGGGGCTTTTGCCCAGCAGTGCTTCTGACTGGCCACTGGAGATCTGATTGGCTGTGCAGATTTTTAAAAAAAGTTGTAGCAGCTGTCACCACAGCACAAGGATCTTCACTATAGGCCTGGAGGCCAGCTGTGTATATGCAAGAAAATATTTTAAAACAATATGTTCATTTAAAAATGAACGGAGCTTCTGATGAAACGGAGCTTCTGTTGAGCGGAGCTTCTGATGAAATACCGAAAAGCTACGATTAGAGATGGTGCATGATGTCACTCCCTGAGATTTTATGGTTGGCTCCCGCCTCTTGTGGCAGCCATTTTGTGGTTGTGCTCACCCTCCTCTGTCAAAATTCTAAAGGAGTCCACAGGCTCAAAAAGGTTGGGGATCCCTGCCCCAGGGTCAGATGAAGCGAGGGTTTTTTTTTTGCCAATCCAGTTCCTTAAGCCTATTACTGCATATAGCCAAAATATAATCAGTACAGTGCAGGTAAGATTTTTTTTAATGAAGCTTCCATAGGCCAAAAACATTTATTTAGAAAACTGCTATGCTGGCTCCTCATAGTCCTGTTCGAGGCTATTCAGGTGAGGCTCAAGGTTTCCAAAGGTGAGGGGCCACCACTGAAAAAACCCACTCTGGCTACCCGCCGTCTCACCTCCGCAGGCAGAGGTGCAGAGAGCCAGGCTTGTGAAGAGAAGAAGAAGAAGAAGAAGAGATTGGATTTATACCCCACCCTTCACTTGGAGTCTCAGAGCGGCTTCCAAACTCCTTTCCCTTCCCCTCCCCACAACAGAAAGGATCTTAACTGACTGCCATTGAGTCTTCTCAAGATGCCATCATGGATAAGGGCCCCCATATTGGTCTTTAATAACCGCTCTGTAAGAAAAGCAGTTTTGCAAGACTGGACCACAGGTTTATCCGATCCAGTGTCCTGTTTGTAGTACCTTCAGGAAGCCTTTGAGAAACAATCCACAGTTGTCACTAGCTCCCAGCAAGATTTACAGGCTTTACAGCCCAGAATATTGTCCATCTTATTTTTCGTTGCCACCTTTTCCATGCTCAGTCTGAAGAGAACAATTGTATCTAATACTGATTTGGATTTGGATAATTATATCTGGTGATTAGTGCCATGTACAGATAAAGGAGATCTTTCTACAAAGTTGGGGGGAAACCCAGGTCTGCAGAAAAATCTAAAAATAAAAAATTTAAAAAGTAGGTAAAAGGTAAAAGTTCCCTTGCTCGAAAGCCAGTTGAGTCCGACTCTAGGGTTGCGGTGCTCATCTCCGTTTCAAAGGCGAAGAGCCAGCGCTGTCCGAAGACGTTTCCGTGGTCATGTGGCCGGCATGACTAAATACCAAGGCGCACGGAACGCTGTTACCTTCCCACCAAAGTGGTACCTATTTATCTACTTGCAATTTCTTGCTTTCAAACTGCTAGGTTGGCAGGAGCTGGAACTAGAGACGGGAGCTCACTCCGTCATGCGACACCCGGGTCTCGAACTGCTGAACTACCGACCTTCCACAGCCTGCAGTTCAGCGTCTTAACGACTTGAGCCACCGCAGCTCCATAAAAAAAAAAGTAGAGAGACTTCTAAAAAGCCCACAAACCTCAACCTATGAGGGAGAAAACATCAACTGCAATTCTGAAGGTTGCTTAGCCATCTGATAAACAGCAAATGGCAGCAGGAGAGGTGGGAATGTGAGATCTACAAAGGAGCAGCATGAACCAACTGAAGTAGCAAAGTAAGTGATGACCAGTGGTACTGGACCAGTGTTCCATCTAGTCCGACATCCTGTTTTTATTATTAATTATATATATTGCATTTTCTCCCTAGTAAGAAGAACAAGATGAGACAGTGCAGTATATTTCAATAACAAAGATACTTCAATAACCAAGAAATTAACCATAATACATCAAGGCTAATCTATATACATACAATAAGTAGTGAGTAAACAGTATTTAGGAGCTGCGGTGGCTCAAGTGGTTAAGACGCTGAACTGCAGCCTGTGGAAGGTCAGTAGATCAGCAGTTCGAGACTTGAGTTGTCGCATGACGGAGTGAGCTCCCGTCTCTAGTTCCAGCTCCTGCCAACCTAGCAGTTCGAAAGCAAGGAATTGCAAGTAGATAAATAGGTACCACTTCGGTGGGAAGGTAACAGTGTTCCGTGCGCCTTGGTGTTTAGTCATGCCGGCCACATGACCACGGAAACGTCTTCAGACAGCGCTGGCTCTTCGGCTTTGAAACGGAGATGAGCATCGCAACCCTAGAGTCGGACTCGACTGGCTTTCGAGCAAGGGAACCTTTACCTTTTTAAACAGTATTTGCTCTGTTTTCCTTTTCTCCGTATTAATCTGAATATTAAAAGAACCAAAAGATCGTTCAAAATTGCCACAGACATACAGTGTCGATTACGTCAGGAATATCAGCTTGCTATGTCAGATATTCCATAATGAGGAACCAAATCGCCACAAAGTTAGAGGAAGATGTTTGGGAGGTAAGGTACGATAAGTTGTCAGTGATTTTAGCCATGATTATAAAGGTCCCATAATTTTTTGTGCCAGAGTGACAGGTCTGATAGTGTTTTATCTTTCCAGCGTGATTTTGCAGTAAACAAAAGGACAGAGATGGCTTCAGATTGAAAAGAGGGGCCCTCCCCCGATACTGCTCTCTAGCATTGGTATTCCAAGGTTTACTGCCTCTGTATATGGAGGTTCCCTTTAGTAGCCATTCATGAAGAAGAGGAAGAGATTGGATTTATACCCCGCCCTTCACTACCCGAAGGAGTCTCAGAGTGGCTTACAATCCCTGTGAGGTAGGTGGGGCTGAGAGAGCTCTCGAGAGAACAGCTCTGAAAGAACTTATGAATGACCCAAGGTCACGCCAGCAGCTGCATGTGGAGAGGTGGGGAATCAAGCCCAGTTCTCCCAGATTAGAGTCCATGCTCTTAACCACTACACCAAACTGGACTTCTCCTCAATGAATTATGGAGAGAAAAAAAGGGAAGGCCTGGCCAAGCAAGGCGGGCAGCAGCAGCTGCAGAGGCAGCAGTGCAGAAGAGAGGCGCTTGCAGTGGCACAGGTGGGCAGGCCAGTGAATGAGACAATGAGGAAGGAAGGAGATGGCTGGGAGCCGGCAACAATGCAACAGGCAGTCTGTGTGGGGGGGTCATATTGGCAGGTGAGCAAGCCAGTATGGAGAAGGGGACCAGGTGGCAGAGACAGCAGAGAAGCCATAGACAGAAAGGCCATAGACAGAAAGGCAGAGGGGTGGCAGAAAGAAAGAGGAGGAGGAAGGAAAGACCACCAGGGGGTGGGATTTCCCCCTCCACCACAAGTTTCCCAGGCCCCCAGCTTATATTAATGACTTTTTCAGTACCAGAGCACTGAGCAGTAGTTCTTGTGGGAGGATTAATCCAGAGCAGGAGGCATTCCCCTATTAAATATGACCGCAATTTTAAAACCACACAATGGCTGTCTCAAGCTTTGTGCCAGCCTCTCACGGGTTATTCCTGAAGCCTCCCTTACCTTTGGGCTGCTTGCCGATAGCTTCCAGGAGATAGTGGCGCGCTTTGTCATAATCCCGCAGGTGGTAGAACGCCACTCCAGCACGATACAGGGCCTTTGTGTTCTCTGGCTGCCTTTCTAGGACTTTTAGACTGTAGTCTTTCACCCGCTCATAGTTCACAGGTTCCATGTGGAGGAGACAAGCTACGTACAGAACAAAAGAACTCCACTTATCAGTCTGAGACTCCCAAACCTTCAGCCCCCCGTTTTCATCCAGAAGCCAGACTGATACTTTGGGGGCAGGGGAGACCAGCAGGTCATAAAGGCAACAGCCCTCTCTTGCTGTTTATCACTTCACCATTGGTATTCAGAGATACATTGTAATTTGAACATGGTGGTCCTCTTTAGTCACTGAAATGTCTCTCCATTAATTTGTCTCGTCTCCCTTTTAAAGCCATCTAAGCCACTAGCTAGTTGCCAAAACTTGTGACGTTCAGTTCCATTATTACACATGGACAGAAGCCCATGTTAATCCCAGATTCGAATCCTGATTTCTCTTGCAAACATATTTTTATCCTACTCTTCTTCCAAGGAGCTGGATTTTTTCCCTCACAAGAACGCTGTGAGCTAGGTTAGGCTGACAGAGAATAACTGACCAGGGAGGTTCCCCTCATGGCAGAGTGGAGATTTGACTGAAACCAAAAGCAGGGAAAGAAGTCTCAACCCCAAACAAATAATTGAGTAACCAAAAGGCTGAGGCAAAGGATAAAAAACTCTGATTAGGGAATGTTAAGACTTTAATAAAATCTCCTCAACAAAGCCTTAAAGACAACGTGGTGTATAAACCTCCTTGACCAGAAAAATGTATGTCAGCCAATTTTCAAATGGAATATTGTTTTGTACAATTATAATTTATGTAATGGTATTACAATCGATTACATATGAAAAAAACCCTCCCTTCATCCGTAAAAGCTGTGAATTGTATACTAGTAAGACTGGACCAAAAACTGCATCCATCAGTCTATTTACATTCAAGGAAATCAGTCAGTCATTATTACGGCCCACATGCCATATAGAAGCAGAACTCCACCACAAGCACTCTTATTGACTGTCATACAAGAAAAACATGCAAAAATAAATCCACAAGAACTGTGCACAGTGCGCTCAATATTTCTTTAACAAAAATCGTGAAGTTATGAATTTGAAAGTACAAAAGTAATAATAATACATTCAAGTTATAGATTCAGGTGACAACAACCTTCTATCTTTATGTACCTGAATTTATAACTTGAATGTATTACTATTACTTTTGTACTTTCATATTCATAACTTCACGATTTTTGTTAAAGAAATATTGAGCACACTGTGCACAGTTCTTGTGGATTTATTTTTGCATGTGTATGGACTGTGACTATATTTATTTTGGCATACAAGAAAAACATCACATACAATCTCTTTTTGAATGGCCTGCTGTACTTATTGGGTAACATTCTAATGAAAACACCTGTTATAAACAAAAACTCGTTACAATTTTTTAAAAAGAATTGTGTCATCTACTGCCAGTCAGTTTGATTGTCAGTGGCAGGCCTGCCACTGTGGGCATCCAGACCAAGATTCCCTCTGAGCCGTCGTGACAGGCAGAACACCACACACAACGTGTCTGACTGGAACAAAAACACTCCTCATGTCCCCCAATTGCACTTTGCCTAGCGTTTTAGATCCTTGTTTATTTCCCCCGCTGCCTGGCTTAGTAGTCCTAGATAACCCAAAGTTTTCATTTGACAAGGACAGGGAAAAAAGTTTCCACTTTCTCCACACTGTGTATATTTTCTAAACTATCTATCGATCTAGCTAAACCTCTCTCATGTTTTTTTCCCTGAACTAAAAGGTAAAGAATCACAGAGCATAACAACATTATACCAAGAGGCCACAGACGGCCCTTAGCGGTAAGAGAATGGTACCTTATGCATGTTCAGAGCTATTCACATCACCAGCCAACCTAAGGGCACACGTCTGAAAGGGAATATTCAGAACAGGGGTGGCCAAACTGTGGCTCAGGAGCCACATGCGGCTCTTTCACACATATTGTGCGGCTCCCAGCTGGGGAAGCGATGGGGAGGCATGCCCCCCTGATCGGTCTTCCCTTCCCCAGCCAGTGTTCTCCTCCTTGGGTAGGCTCGAGGTGTGTAGGGGGGAGCAGAGAAAGGAAGCAACTTTAAGTGCATTCTCAAAGCCTCCCCCCCCCCCTTCCGCAAGCTTGGAGAAGGCAAATAAATATCATTATCAACAACAGTTTTTACCCTTTTGTTTTTATTTTTGGCAGTCTCGTTTACAGTTAATAATAAAGCAGATTTGCATATTTTTCAATAAAAACATGGGGTGACATTTGTTCACGTGGCTCTCAAACATCTGACGTTTATTCTACGTGGCTCTTACGTCAAGCAAGTTTGGCTATCCCTGATTCAGAATCGAGGATCTCAGGTGGGGTGGCCCTCAGCAAGACCTAGCATTAATTCCGACATTGCCCAGGGCCCGGGGACCCTTTCCTGTAGCTTTACCAGCAAGATTATTGTAGCAGTCGCTTTGGGTGCTGTGGAGAGCTCGTTCCTGTTCAAGGGTTACATGAGGCCTCTCCCCGCCTAATTCCTGCAGAGGACACGGCACGCTGGGATCCAGCCCTTTCACCTGCAGGAGGGCCCAGTGGTAACGGCTCACAGCGTCACGGAAATGCCCCTCTTTGTAATAGCGGTTCCCTTCCTCCTTGAAGCGCTGGGCCTGCTGAAGCCGCAGCTCCATGGTCTCCTCTGAAGAGGCCTAGAAGGAAAATAAAGCACATTCTTAGCTTGAAAAGGGAAAGCTTTTATTTTCAGAAAGATGCCAACAGGCCAGGAACTCCCAACCGGCCCAAACATTCCAGCATTATCCACCACAGTGCAGGCTGTCTGCCACTGGAAAACAGTAAAATTATCCCGGCTAAACTTCAAAAAAGAGAGGTGAAAGAGAGCTCACGGGCTTAATGGAAGCTATATTCTATGGCCCAGGAAATCAGAGTTTCTAATTCCTAGTATGTAACGGCTCAGAGGTTAAGACGCTGAACTGCAGACCAGAAGGTTGGTAGCTCGGCAGTTTGAGACCCAGTGCCGCGTGACGGAGTGAGCTCCCGTCTCTGGCCCCAGCTCCTGCCAACTTAGCAGTTTGAAAGCAAGACCTTGCAAGTAGATAAATAGGTACCGCTTCGGTGGGAAGGTAACAGTGTTCTGTGCACCTTGGCCTTTAGTCATGCCGGCCACATGAACATGGAAAACTCTTCGGACAGCGCTGGCTCTTCAGCTTGGAAACGGAGATGAGCACCGCCCCCTAGAGTCGGATTCGACTGGCTTTTGAGCAACGGAAACATTTACCTTTACCTTAAGGGCTAGTTATGGTTCCTGGGTGTTTGGAGGAAGGCACTCTGAACATGCTCAAAGGCACAGTACTTTATTACTCAGTCACATTTTCCAGGGCTAAGTGAAGGTACTCAAACATACTATATCTAGGGGTAAGTTCCAGCCAAGTTAATCCCTAGAAGAGCATTCCAATGAACAGCCTGCATTAAATAAGCTAACTGGCTACAACAGAGCTCCTCGATAATTATGCTAAAGAAGCAGAACAGATTTAGAGTCCAGTGGCACCTTTAAGACCAACAAAGGTTTATTCAAGGTATGAGCTTTCATGTGTGAGCACATTTTTTCAAATACATTGGAATGGTAGGTAGGTTTCAGACTTATAGACAGGGACTGAACAGCAAATTACCTACCATTTCAGTGTATTTGAAAAAGTGTGCACGCACATGAAAGCTCATACCTTGAATAAACCTTTATTGGTCTTAAATTTGTTCTACTGCTTCAGACCAACTCAGGTGACCACCTGGATCTATGCTAAAGGTGAGTAAATTCAGCTTTTCTCACCCCAACAACATTAGATTAGACAGATTCTTGGAGGATAGGTCTATCAGTGGCTACTAGCCATGGTGACTGAGGGGAACCTCTACGTTCAGAGGCATTAAACCTCTGAATCCCAGTGCCAGGGAGGCAACATCAGGAAAAGACCTCAACCTCTGTGCCCTGTTGTTGGACCTCCAGAGCAACTGGCTGGCCACTGTGTGAGACAGGATGCTGGAATAGATGGACCCTCACTGGTCTGATCCAGCTGGAGTGCTTCTCATGTTCTTATCATAGTGACATGAGTAGTTAGAGGCGGAGCTGGATGTCCAGCTCCAACTACTCACTAATATCCCTTTCCAGTGGCTATTAGCCACAAGGTATAGCTAGGGGCTCTGGGGCAAGTGCTGCTCTGTCTTCTTGGTGCTTGGGGGGGATCAACAGTGGGAGGGCTTCTAATGTCCTGGCCCCACTGGTGGACCTCCTGATGGCACCTGGTATTTCTGGCCACTGTGTGACACAGAGTGGTGGACTTATTTCTGGCCACTGTGTGACACAGAGTGTTGGACTGGATGGGCCTTTGGCCTGATCCAACATTGGCGTCTCTTATGTTCTTATGTTTTTTCTTTATTCCCTAGATGTAGTTCCCTTTCCTATATTTTCTGTTGTAGTTTTGTAGTCTGAAAAAACCCCAATAAAAACCTCCCCCTAGGGGGATGAGGGGAAAAAAAGTTGGAGCTGGGGAAGCAAGTTAACACAGCTGCAAGAAATGCTTTCTTCCAACTCAGTGTGGCCCAGAAAATGCCCCTCCTACCTTGACATGGATGATCTGACCACCTGGATCCACGCAAAGCAAAGCATAAGTATTAACATTACATTAAACGATGTGCAGATTCCATAGTAGGGATCTTGTTACTGCAACAGATATTACAAACTATACACAGGCCCCGGTCACACGACAAAGTTGCCATGGGAGAGGCACGGATGGTGGGCGCGATCACACCCCAACATCTGGGAAGTGGAGCGCACCTGTGGCTTACTGCCGACAATGTGCGTTAAAAAACTAGTACCTCCAAGGTACTAGTAAACGTTTGCCACGGGCTGCCTCCAGACGCCCATGGTGTGATTGCGCCGGCGCACGGCATTCGCGTTTACCTGCTGGCACCAAGGGAAGGACCCGTGGTGTGCCACCAGTGCGTCTGATCGCATAATCGCAGATCAAACTGCACTGGGGCAATTAGCCACGCCTCCCCCCCATGCGTGATATCCGGCCCATGTGACCGGGGCCACAGTGGGATCAATGTACAGTCGTTAATCTTTTACCCCAAGCTTATTTCTGAACCATTTTGTTAACAGCGCGGTCCTATTTCCTGTTCAAAAGGCTCTCTTGAATAATTCAGTTTTGCCTGGTTTGCGGAAAGCTAGGAGGGTGGAAGCCTTCCCAACTTCATCAGGTAGGCCATTCGTTAAGGTGGGTGGGCCACAAGAGAGAAGGCACTGTTTCATACTTCTGGGTGGTTTCAGATTTCTACTAGTCAAATCCTATTGTGTTGTCTATTGGATGTCCCATCCTGCTGTCTGTATTGTCTTATTCAGTGTAATCCGCCTTGAGTCCCAGGGAGAAAGGCAGACTATAAATAATGTGAATAAATACAAACAAATCAATCTGCTTTTTTTTTTAAGCCTGGGTGAGGCAGAGCAGAAGTCCTGAATCCAGTACTGGAGGAGTCTGGAACCTCGCTGGTGGCAGCATCCACAGCTCAGCACCTATTGCTCTACCATCATCATCTACAAAGGGATCGTGGCTTGGGAAATCCAGTCATGCAGGGCGGCTATACTTGCAACCACAGTGCAATCTCCAGTGATGTGTGGGATGCAACCTGGGCTGGGTTGCCAACCTCCAGGTGGTGGCTGAAGATCTCCCACTATTACAACTGCTCTCCAAGCAACAGAGATCAGCTCACCTGGAGAAAATGGACACTTTGGAAGGTGGACTCTGTGGCATCGTACCCTAGGGTTGCCAGCTCTGGGCAATACTTGGGAGATTTGGGGGTAGAGCCTGGGGAGGACAGGGTTTGGGGAAGGGAGGGAACTCAGCAGGGTATAATGCCACAGAGTCCACCCTTCCAAAGCAGGCATTTTCTCCAGGTGGAACTGATCTCGGTCACCTGGAAATCAGATGTAATAACAGGCGATCTCCAGGTGCCACCTGGAGATTGGCAACCGTACTTTACCCCATGGAAGTCCGTCCCCAAACCCCGCCTTCCCCAGGCTCCACTCCCAAAATCTCCAGGTCTTTCCCCACCTGGAGCTGGCAACCCTAAACCTGTGACGATTTCTGTCTGGGCTCTTCCGCATTCTCATTTTTGTCACTCATTTGTCCCTATTGCTTTGGGTCGACATCGTCCGTCCCCCCCCCCTTTCCACATGTGTTTTGATCCCTCCGGGTCTACTAGAGAGAGCAAAACACATTGGGAGGAGAAAACCCTGAAGCAATAGGAGCAGCACAGGAGTGATGAAAATCAGAAAGCGGAAGACCCTTCTCGCTTAAAAACAGACACTTCCAGCAGATCACAAACCTGGTACCTTTGCGGCTGCCATCGGGGGGTCAGACGAGGTTGCGGCTGCTTTGGAATCCCACCCCACTTTCCCCCTTCCCCGGCCGCAGCCGCCGCCGCCGCCACGCCCTCTCCATGACCTGGAAGGGAAGGGAAATGCCAGAAAGGGGAAGCAGCCAGGAAGGAGCTCCGGGGACACGTGATCGAAGCGCCAGCCTTCTGGTTCCGAGGACGGGAGCGATGCAGAAGCACTTTCAAATAGGAAGCATTTTCTTTTGCTCCATTAAGCAATGTTCCCTCTAAGCTGAGTTAGTGTGAGCTAGCTAAGCTCACAGTTTTTTAGCCTCCAGCTCACACTTTTTCGTCTTTGCTCAGGAAGGATGGCTCCAGAGCAGACTCATTTATGCAGTAGCCAAACTGCTCGCTCACAACTTTAATGCCAGTAGCTCACAAAGTAGAATTTTTGCTCACAGGGCTCCACAGCTGAGAGGGAACATTGGAGGGGGAGGTATTTGTGAATTCCCTGCCTCCCCACGTGTGCCTGCACACGAAAGCTTATACCCAGAATTAAACTTGTTGGTCTTAAAGGTGCCACTGGACTCAAATTTTGTGCTCTTCCTGTTTTTCATTTTTATAGATTTTTCCCCCCTCTGAGGAAAATATAGGAAATGGGGGACTGTGGATGAAAACATATTCGTCCTTAAAATAATTTCCGTATTGCATTAAACAAAAAAATTGTCTTTACCTAGCTGGCCACTTAAACTTCATTATCCAGCTTTGCCGACTACTACCGTGTTGGTCTTTATTTATTTAGGGAGGTTGCACGTGGCCCTTTCAAAGTCCTGCCTGAGAAGGTGAGGAATAAAACCAAGACCATAGAATTCTAAGTAGTGGTTGTCTCCTAATGCTGTCTGGTCTGGTAGCACCACCTGGAGTCTCAGAGAGAAAGGCCGACTGTAAATAAATTAAATTAAAAAACAAAATAAATGTTCAATATGAAAACTCAAAAACAGCCATTAAAAACAACATTTGAGTGCCCTAAAATTAAAGAAATAAAAATAAAGCAGGTCTCAGACCAGAATCCAACCATAAACTAGCTAAAAAGATAAAACCCCTTCTTTAACAGCCTGGGTAAAAAACACCCCTTTTTAGCCTGGTTCCGTAAGTGCCAGAGAAATCTCAAGAGGGAGGGTGTTCCAAAGGTCTTTGCATGCCTTCCCTGTGTGATAAAACAGTAATTCTACCAGCGGTACAATCCTGAAGAGAATTACACTCTCCTAAACCCATTGAAGAAGGAGTTGCGGTGGCTCAAGTGGTTAAGACGCTGAACTGCAGGCTGTGGAAGGTCAGTAGTTCAGCGGTTCAAGACCCGGGTGCCACAAGACAGGGTGAGCTCCTGTCTCTAGTTCCAGCTCCTGCCAACCTAGCAGTTCGAAAGCAAGAAATTGCAAGTAGATAAATAGGGACCACTTCGGTGGGAAGGTAACAGCGTTCCGTGCGCCTTGGTGTTTAGTCATGCCGGCCACATGACCACGGAAACGTCTTCGGACAGCGCTGGCTCTTCGGCTTTGAAACGGAGATGAGCACCGCAACCCTAGAGTCGGATTCGACTGGCTTTCGAGCAAGGGAACCTTTACCTTTTTAAACCCATTGAAGGAGCTGCGGTGGCTCAAGTGGTTAAGACGCTGAACTGCAGGCTGTGGAAGGTCAGTAGTTCAGCAGTTCGAGACCCGAGTGTGCCACATGATGGAGTGAGCTCCCATCTCTAGTTCCAGCTCCTGCCAACCTAGCAGTTCGAAAGCAAGAAATTGGAAGTAGATAAATAGGTACCACTTCAGTGGGAAGATAACAGCGTTCCGTGCGCCTTGGTGTTTAGTCATGCCGGTGTTTAGTCCTATGGTTTTCCCTTGTATGCCTGTGGCCCTGCCCCCAGCGTTCCCAGTGTTCCCAGTGTGCCTGCGTCACTTCCGGGTGACACGTGTGCGCACACCCGACGCCGGCTGGGAGCTCCCTGCTCCCAGCGAAGAATCACTTGGCAACCCTAACACCAGGAAAAGGTGAAGGTAGAAGGAAAAAGGGAAGACCCAAAATGAGATAGATTGATTCAATCAAAGAAGCCATGATCCTCTCAGTTTGCAAGACTTCAGCAAGGCTGTTAACGATTGGTTGTTTTGGAGGTCATTGATTTATAGAGTTGCCATAAGTTGGAAGCAACTTTATTGCACTTAACACGCATGCACATACACACAAAAGTCAATACTATCTTCCCTCCAGGTTTTAATAAGGATCTGTGATTTCTTGCTCCCTATAGATTCTAATTCTATAGGTCAAAGCAATGGTATTCCCAGTAGTAATGTATGGCTGCGAGAGTTGGCCCATAAGGAAGGCTGAGTGCCGAAGAATAGATTCTGTTAAATTATTGTGCTGGAGAAGACTCTTGAGAGTCCCTTGGACTGCTAGAAGATCAAATCAGTCAATCCTAAAAGAAATCAACCCTGACTGTTCCCTGGAAGGCCAGAGACTGAAGCTGAAGCTCAAATACTTTGGCTACCAAATGAGAAGGGCGCACTCACTGGAGAAGCCCCTGATGCTGGGAAAGACTGAAGGTCAAAGAAGGCGACGGCAAAGGATGAGATGGTTAGACAGTATTATTAATGCAACAAACATGAAATTAAGCAAACTCCAGGGGACAGCGGAAGACAGGAGGGCTTGGCGTGATGTGGTCCATGGGGTTGCGAAGAGTCAGGCTCGACTGTGCAACTGAACAGCAACAACATTAGAGTCTAATAAAATAGCAAAAGCCACCCTTTACAGATGTTAATAGGTTCAGATAAATCTCTGTATGATCTCTGTACTTTTCTAATTGTATCACGTTTCACCCTGAAGTACTTTCCTGGATTAGGTTTGATGTTAATCTTACTTTGCCTATTTGTCAACAGTTAGGTGTGGTCCTCAATCAATGAGTGCATTGATTGCATCTTTTGATTGCCTCTTAGTTTAAACCAGCTTCTCTTTATAACTCTTTATAACATTTCCTGCCTCCTATTGTTCTTTTGTTGGCCATTTTAAGTATAATGTAAATGTATCTGCTGCAGGCAATGGCAAACCACCTCTGTTTGTCTGTTGCCTTAAAAACCGTAGGGCTGGGGTGGCCAAACTTGCTTAACGAAAAAGCCACATAGAATAACTGTCAGATGTTTGAGAACTGCAAGACATGAACAAACATCACACACACACACTTTTATTGAAAAATATGCAAATCTGCTTTTTATTAACATTAAATGAGATTTCCAAAAAAACCCCAAAAGGGGTAAAAACAGATATTTGTAATGATATTTATTTGTGCAATTATATTTATTTGTTTGCTGATAATATTTATTTGTCTAAGAGAGGGAGAAAGAGATAGGTGGGGAAAAAGAGAGAGAGATGGGGCAGAGAGGGGGAGGGAGGGAGGGAGAAAGAGAAAGGTGGAAAGAATTAAAAGTGGAAAGAAGAGAGAAAAACAAACAGCAAACAGAGGGGGAGGGAGGGAGGAAGAGAGAGAAAGCAAATAGATGAGGGGGAGGAAGGCAGGGAGGGAGAATGGTGAAAAGAAAGAAAGATGTGGAAAGAAAGCAAATAGATGGGGGGAGGGGGGGAACAGAGAAAGGGAGGTGGAAAGAAAGCAAATAAATGGGGAGGAAGGGAGAGGTGGAAAGAAAACAACTTTAATTTTAAATGTGTTCTCCAACCCTGCCATGCCCCCATGCCAGCTGGCTTGGCTTGGAGAAGGGATTTAAAGAGAAAAATGTCATAACAACATAAGAACATAAGAGAGGCCAATGTTGGATCAGGCCAAAGGCCCATCCAGTCCAACACTCTGTATCACACAGTGGCCAGAAATACCAGTGCCATCAGGAAGTCCACCAGTGGGGCCAGGACACTAGTAGCCATCCCACTGTTGACCCTCCCAAGCACCAAGATGACAGAGCATCACTTGCCCCAGAGTCCCTATCTATACCTTGTGGCTAATAGCCACTGATGGACCTCTGCTCCATATGCTTATCTAATTCCCTTTTGAAGCCGTCCATGCTTGTAGCCGCCACCACCTCCTGTGGAAGTGAATTCCAAGTGTTAATCACTCTTTGGGTGAAAAAGTACTTCCTTTTATCCGTTCTAACCCGACCGCTCAGCAATTTCATGGAGTGCCCACGAGTTCTTGTATTGTGAGAAAGGGAGAAAAGTACCTCTTTCTCTACCTGCTCTTTCCCATGCATAATCTTATAAACCTCGATCATGTCACCCCTCAGTCGTCGTTTCTCCAAGCTAAAGAACCCTAAGCGCCTTAACCTTTCCTCTTCTCTGAGCTAGCTGGGGAGGGGGGACTTTGAGAATGCATTTAAAGTTGCTTTCTTTCTCTGCCTCCCCCAAACCTACCCAGGGGAGAGAAACACTGGCTGGGGAAGGGAAAATCAGTCAGGGAGGCATGCCTCCCTTTCGCTTTCCCAGCAGCCCTGCCAAGAGCTGTACAATATGTGTGAAAGAGCTGCATGAGGCTCCCAACCCACAGTTTGGCCACCCATGCCCTAGGGGGTTGCCACAAGAACATAAGAAGCGCCCTGCTGGATCAGACCAATAGTCCATCTAGTCCAACATCCTGTCTCACACAGTGGCTCCAACCAGTTCCTCTGAATGACCAACAACAGGGCATAGAGGCTGAGACCTTCCACTGATGTTGGCCTATTATGCATGGGTGTTTTCCCTTGCTTTCACCATACATGTCCTTCAGGTCCCCCCCGCCCCCAATTCTGCATTGTTTTTCCTCCCTTCAGCGCTCAGTGCGCTTTCAGCTCGCTGTTTACCCGGGTTTTTTTAGAGTTGTTTTGTGGTGATCCCCCCCCCTTTGCTTCCAAGCTGAAGGTAATTCAAAAGCACACGTGTTTATTTCTAAAACATATAAAAATCTTCTAGGGGCCCAAGTAAAGCCTCATAAAAATATGACCTGACATGTTTCAGCTCACCTTACAAGCATAACAGGGGCTGCATTACATGTTGTATTCTGAACTATTTGACCTCTGAAGAAGGCTCTTGTGGGCCGAAACACATCAGGTCATATATGGTTCTTTTTGTGCATTTATCACTGTGATTATTT